GGGGGGTGGACCTGACCTGGACCGGAACACAGCACGGGCCGGCACCGCTCCCCCGGGAAGGGGCTCGTGACGCCGAGCAGACAGGCACTAAGGACACAAGCCTGGGCCCTGGGCAGCTGCGGTCTTTTCCCAGGACACAGGACCCCCCCAGGCTCAGGGCCGCCACGTCCTGGCGTTTCCCTGCCAAGAGCTCCGGTTTGCCCCGAAGGACAACGCTCGAGTCCACAGCAGCCACCAGGGCCATCCCGCCCCAGCCCCCTGCTTCCCCGGGACGCTTTGCTCCTGAGCACCGGCCCCTCCTGTGTGAGCCCCGCCCTTCTTGTCCTTCCCACAATCCCTTGCGGTGCCGCCTGCATCGCTCTGAACCCAGGACACGGCCAGCGTGACCCACACACGCTCCTGCTTTTGCCTTAAAACTTGTTTGAAATCTGCAGGAGCCCAGAGCACACCTCAGCCTCTTGGGGAATTCTGTCTCCCAACTTGCAACCCTGACCAGCTCCAATAGCCGTTGTGTGTCTCAGTCAGTGAGTGCCTCGGTTTCTCCTAAGCGTCGACTGGGGTTTCAGCTGAAACCCTTCATCTTCACCCTCACTGAAGGTCAGGAAACTCGGATATCAAGAGCAGGGAGAAACACAGAGCTGCAGTGGGAAAGTGGATTTATTGGGCTCCCGTGGGACGACACGGGGAGGCTGAGGACAGGGGCAGCCATTGGGTGTGAGAGGGCAAGGGAGGCTCTGGACCCCTCTGCTGGATCCTAGGCCGAGTCCATCGGCTCAGCTCAGCAGACTTCCCGTCAGCGGCAACGCTGACTGTGGGCCACAGCAGTCTGTGCAGCTGTCCCGGTCAGCTGGCGTGAGGACTGAGGTCATCAGCAGGAGGAGGTGCAGCAGGTGGAGGTGCCGCAGGAGACAGGGTTGCAGAGGAGGCTGGGGCTGGAGGGCTGGCAGCACCCCGAGGACTGGCAGGCGGGGGCCAGGCACAAGGCAGGCCTGCAGCTCGCAGGGACACACAGGGAGGATTGGCAGGAGG